TCGCCGGGGCATATCCTTTCGAAATTGCGTGTCGGTCCGCACCCTTAGGGGGTCCACCTGTCTTTCCACTGGGTAAGCTTCTCCTTCTCCAACCTTCGACCTTATCGTGGGATCCTCGTTTGACTGTCTTGGACTCGGTTGACCCAATTGCCCCTACTACGCAAGCACCCAATTTTTCATTGTTCAAAGGAAGTCCTCGAACGGAAAATAAAAGAAAACTATTCGAGTACAAAACTTTTGAATCCTACCGAAGAGCTCAATGGTATAAGATCTTAGTATTTTCAGCAGACCCCTCTCCTATTTCTTCACTTACAGCCTACCTCTCACCACCTTTTTCATTTTCATGTGCAAGATTCATTCCGAGTAGATCATGGGGGGGGGGGTGCCTAAACAATCACGGAGTCGACGTTGAACGTGGTTGTATTTGAGTGCTCTCTAGCTGATTTCCACATTCTTGTAGAAGATACATGCAATTTCAGAATATGTTCGACTCACCCGAGGGCGCTCTATCAAGTCTATAACCTCTCTAGATCCTTTATAAAAGTTCTTAAACTTTTAGCACTGAAGCGACCTATACATTTTCCTAATCACCGTGGGAGAAAGTGAGGATTTTGTGTGGAGTGGCGGCGAGCATTCACGAAATTAGGTGAATAACGGTCGAGGAATTCCTCGACCATAGCTCTCTACCATGCGAGAGTAGTGCCGAGAGTGAACATCGCGCGGAGAGCACAGACGGCACGCGCATGGCGAGTGTGAATGTCCGCGCGAGAGATCGTGTCTGAGAAAATCCTCGACGTGCCGTTGAGGAATCCTCAAGCGATATTCACCCTGTTCGAAATCTGTCTCCTACTGAGGTGTTTGCTTATCTCTTCTATCATGGTCTTCTAAAAAGTACTATCTTCAAATTGAAGATACGTCGATTACATCATCGGCTAATCACCGATTCGTCCTCAACGTAGGTCGGACTGATATTCGAACCCACATTCTCGACTGCTGAGAGCCAAATACGTTATGCAGGGCTAGATCCGAGCATCTTGGGCACTCCATCTAAGTCTTCTGATTATGTCAGTTCACCTCAATACAGATTTGAGCTTACAAGGTCACAAGCTATGGCTCAAGCATAAGTATGTAAAATCACTTCAGTCTGTCAGTCACAAGCAGTCCGGCAACGCCTTAGCCATTGCTTTGAATTCAACTTGCACTTCATTACCTGAACCTTGATTAGTAGACTTTGAAACACGTTTCGAGGCTATTCTTTGTATCCTCAATCTCTTTCGAGGTGCTCTCGACAACATCGGCTAAAGTTTCTCGAGGTTATAGTGCATTTTTAATCGACCGAGATCCAACTCATTTTTTCCAAAGTAAGTCTTTTTTCTTGCGTTGCCGTCGACGAAATCGACTCTTGATTCTCTGCTGCGTTTTCAGATACTGCTAATGACCTTCGAGACGGCGACGAATTCAAGGTGCCACAAGATCGAGATGCGTGTGAAGAGTTGCTACTGTGGCTTTAAGTCACATCAACAAAGTCTGGGGGCGACGGAAAAGTCTCGAAGAGCACTGTGTTCTTATGGTGCCGAAAATTGGGGGAGAGAAAAGCTCACCGCGGCGCGGACGCGAGCGCGTGCAGGTGACGTCACAGCTGCGACAAAACGGCAACGAGAGGGCGAGGTAGGAGTGTTGCTGTCACTTCGTTTGGCTGATAGAAGGGATACTAGCATTCACTAATTGATGCAGTCAGTAGTACCGTGAGCAAAGAGGTTGTATTGTGTGTAGGTACAATTTTCGCCGTCGAAAATTAGGAATATTTTTGCAAATTTGAGGAAATTAACGGTTTCGCATTTAAAACCCAACGAGTGCGCAATTAAGTCGAAGTTGATTACTTTAAGTTCATTCTTCGTTATTACTTCTACTCACTGCACAGTGAAGTCAGAATCGATAGTGTCTAATACGTATTGTTATAAGTAATGGCGCCTGTCTTGCCCAATCCCTCCCCGCTGCTGTGACGTCAAATTGACGTCACCTGCACGCGCTCGCATCCGCGCCGCCGGTGAGCTATTCCATGGAGCCCCGAATTTAGGGATGTGCAACGAAAATAATTGGCTCCCAAACAGAAGAAAAGTCGAGCTTCGATCGAAACACTACGCCATTGATCAATCGACCGTTTATCTTATTGGAATTGTTCTAGATTTTTGAAGAAATAAATTTTTGCATGAAGTTGGAATGTGTAAGATTTCTGGATAATCCAGTGCATATTCTTCATTATTCATATTTTTTTCATTTGGATTGTGTGATGATGTCTTTAAGACTCAAAGGCAGACAATGCATTTTTAATGACTCACGACCGACACTTTTTTCTGTGAATAAGTTGAAAAATTTCACAACAAGCAAGGTGCTAACACTTTTGCAAATAGAATCGCCCGCGACAATGGTCCCGTAAATATAGCACAAAAAGGGTGGGGGCATTGACGTAGTTCGCCTCTCCCCAACTCGTAAATTTCCGGGCGCAAAGAATCACGGCAGGGCCGACAAATGTGCTGGGGATTGTGCGGGGGCGGTTTTGTCTGTGTACAGCTCTTCATTGTATTAGATCGGTCAAAAAATGACCGCCGTTTTGAACCCCCGTCTTTGAAGCACCACAACTTCGCTAATACACAACCTTTTGGTTTAAATAAAAACCATTGTGTTCATCATATTGCTCTCAATCAGACCCATGCTAATACCTTTCCTTCCCACAAAACTTTGAATTATTGTAGACCAAAAGCTGTAGGCTATATGGGCTAAAAGCTGTAGGAAGGCGCATTTGACATGCCTCAGTTCTCAACGCGATTTCTCCTCCAAGAACTATTTGAAAAGCGGGGAATTGGTGGTTCGTGAAAGATGTACCTGGGCTATATAAAGGATAGCAAAAGAACTTCTGAGCCATTTCTGAATGGATTCTACAGAGCGTATTTTGCGGTGGGCGATCTAGCGCTATCGTGGTGAAGGACTGGACCTCATTTTTTCCTTGAAGCAGACTATCATCCCCGTAGTTTCTTATGTTTTATGTTCTAATCTTTACGACAGCTCTGTACCGTCGTCGAATAACTCGGTTCCCGGACATTGCATTGAGCTACGCCGTCAGAACTTGGGGAAAATCCTTGGTGTTCTATGTCCTGCACTATTGCCCATCTTGGAAACGGCTCCTCACTGTTGCATGGAAGAGTTAAAGCGCACACCTCCAGTAGTAGGTGCTGGGATGTGTTGCATCGGCAGGTACCCGACAGGAGGCCCGTCGCGCGGCAAGAAGGCAGAGTCAGCGGACGAGTTGCAGCGCGTACTGTAGTGGTTTCGCGTCAAGTCAAATAGAATGTATAATTGCACGTCCTACATCGCACATCACGCGCCCTTCTTGCCGAGCGACGGGCCTCCTGCCGGGTACCCTTTTTCGACGGATTTTCACAACTTTCATAACAGCTATCCTCCCCCTCGAAATAACCGGCATTGGTTTGAATGTCTTGGACTCCTTGACCCCTTGTGCTATAGATGCACCCGGATATTTTTTGCTCGTAGGAAAGTTTTCGGACCGCAAAACAAAAAAAAACTAAATATAGAACTTTGTAATCCTCCCAGAGAAATTAAAGGTATATGGTGTAAGCTTTTGAACCCTCAGTGCTTTGAGGTGAGCCCTATAGTATTTGCGGACAACAGCTAAATTTGCCGCTGCTTCTCTGCGCATGAGCGGCATGACGGATCTCCTGATGAACACACCGGGACTATGTTTGGCATCAGGCACGCGTCGTCTACTTATTTTAACGCGAAAGCTCTGCAGTAGTCAGTGACAAGTGAATTAAAGGCAATAATTATATGACGATGGCGTTGCGGTTTTGATGACGTCATTAAACGTCGTTGGTAGAACGACTTTGAGGAGCGGACCCAAGCACACCCCCGCCGGATGAGGGGTCTAGTTCACCAGTGGCATTCAACGACGTCATCAAAACCGCAACGCCCTCCAGGCGTCGTGATCAGTGCTTTGATAGAAAATAATAATAAGAAAATAAGTTTGGAGGTCGAAGAAGAGGAATACACCAAGTCGAATAGGAGGCGGCCCCTTAAGGGCGTGGAATGATACACGTTTCGCAGCGACGAGTATGCCACCACCGGCTTAGCAGGGGTGTACGCGCCGCTCGCGCCACCGCACGCCCACTCTCTCAGCGTCTGACTCTAGCTAACTAGCGGAGAGGTGCTAGTGCTGGAGGGCAGCACCGATGCGAGTCGCACCGATATGGAAACCAACGGGTGAGTAAGAGGATCCTATTCCTGAGTTCTGAGCTACTTCTCATGC